GGTTAGAACCTGGGTTTCAAACCTGGGTTCAAACCTGTGGGTTTAAACCTGGGTTTAACCCGGGGTTGAACCCAGGTTCGAACCCAGGTTTAACCCAGGTTCAAACCCAGGTTCAAACCCAGGTTAAACCCAGGTTTCAAACCTGGGTTCCCTGGGTTGTTGTTGTTGTTCCCCCCCCCCCCCCCGGGGGAGGGAACCCAGGTTCAAACCCAGGTTCAAACCTGGGTTAAACCCCGGGGGGGGAGGGGACCAGCCTCCCATCCGATAGTGTGCCGATGAGTTGAGTACTGTGTGTGCCCGTGAGATTGGATTGCTTCATCATCTTGCTCGGACTTTCACTTCTTCCCACTGCACGCAAGTGACCCAGGAGGCTCCTGAACGTTGCGGCACGGCTCAGTGGGGGAAGTCCATTGCGACGGGATTAGAATGGCTGCCGGACTTGGTTTTGGCTCTGTTGCTTCTGAACGGCTGCTGAGGATGCCCTAGCCCGGCAGTTCGTTGAACGGCTGTTGTCGACTGGTTTACAAGCAGCAACACTTTCACCGCTGTTTTTTTTTGACCGGTAGTGTCGTTAGGGACTGAGCGTAGCCGCTGCCACCGAAGCCCGCCCAAGCCAAAAAAAAATTTGGGGAACGTTGCGGCAGTGTATTCTCCACTAAGAAGCAAAATGCGAAAAGTGCTTCATTCTCTGGGGCAGGGTGCTCCAGGACGTGCAAGGCAAATCAAGGCGGGGGCATCTGGCCCCAGGATGTCTGCGGTGTGCAAGTCAACTTTTGCTGTTTGCACGGTATGTTTGCAACAATAGACCACCGTTGTGCGGCCATGTCTGCGCAGTTCAACGGCCGCAGGAATTGAGCATTTGAGGAAAATTAAGACGAAGTTGTGTGTTTGCTGAATGGCCTGGCCAACTCAGTCTGTCCGCTTCAGTCTGTCCGCCGCAGTGCGTTGTTTTTTCTTTAGGTTCCGCAAGGATTTCTGCTTCACTGTGTTACCCTTTCAGTTCAATGGTTCGCCCTTCTTGTGTTCATAGAAAAGCTTCTTCACAAAGACTAAGCCTACAAAACAGACAAAAGTTTTCTATTCGACTAAGAACTGCGCCGAGAGTCACGAATTTGCATGTTCTACGCACAACGTAAAGACTTCACACTGTGTACGGTCTCACAATTTGGTTGCCAAGCTCGCAGCCCAGAGTCGCAGCAACAATCCTGATCTTGTGAAGGGTATTGTGCGGCATCCAAGATTACGGCGTGTATGATGTAATTTTTCGGTTTCCGCGTTGACTCGCTTGTGCATGCATAGTGGCACTTACCATGCCGTAAGCTCTCATCCTGTTTCTTTTGTGCTATGGCATCTGCGTGCGAATCGATCGGGCTGAACAAGGAGGAACTCGTGCGACAGATGGTTGAAACTGTGAGAGCGTGACGGCAGCAGGTGCAGCTTTTCACCCGGTGGACTTTCGATGGCAGGGAGGTGCTCAACACTTGTGAAGCTGACCGCCTCCACGTCTTAGCAAGGGGACTATGTGTGGTCATGCCTCGACACCCCTTCGGACATCTTCGGACTTCAGGGCAGGAGAACTTTGTAGGTCTTGGGGAGCTTGGTTGGTGAGGCATGGGGCAAAGGGCGCCTTCAACACCGAAATCTTTCTGACCTGGAAGGTGGCACATGGAGAGCGTGGGCTGGCTCTGGTGGTCAACGTGAGGCTTGATGTGAGACGAGTTGTTTATTGGATCACTCCCGGGATTGGCAGAAAGCATGCCAATAAGGGGAACCCACCAACCGGTCAGTGAATTGATTGGATTGGGAACGTGATCATGCTTCATCCTTATTCAGTCGTCATCTTCATCTCCATGCTTTTGTTAGCCTTCATCTTTGTTTCAGTTTTCGTTAGCATCATCTCGACTGCACAGCGACATCAAGAGACACCAAGAGAGCAGAAGTGGAAAAAGCAGGCTCGGAGTGGAGGGAGATATCAGCAAATCGCCTCTGAAGCTGTGGCCAGGCGCTTCCAACCGCAGCGGCTCCAGTTGGAGAAGGCAGCAGAAATGGAATTCAGCAATTCAAGAGCAGTTCTGAAACCTTTGATACAGGCTTTCGGGATTCTTTGACCAAAAACAAAGCAGCCCTTCTCCCGCACAGGCAACTGAGGGTTCATTTGTTCAAGAGTTCCATCGGGGCTGGGCTTCTGGATCGCAGACGTGTGCGTGATGTGGCGGAAACCGCACGCAAGTAATGAAGCCAGAACGCAGGTGAGGTCGGCGATGTAGCCAACTATGGGGCTAATGCAACAGAAGGTGGGTTGCTTCGCGATTTAGGGCTTTAAGGCTTGAGGCTTCAGAGCGGAACGTTAGCAAGCTTGAGAACTATTTTCCCAAGGTTGCACCATGTGTCGAAGGGAGGAGAACATCCAGTGTTCGGCGAGCTGAATGCGTGAAGGTACCAATCCAAAATCAAACTCTGGCAGCTGTCTGTCCACATCCCGTGCGGCTTTGAGCTGGCGATCGCAAGAATGATGCGGTGGATTTCTTAATCTGGACAGCTTCGGGCACATCGTTTGGGCCATGGATCCTTGTTCTGTCAATGCTCCCACTCGAATTCCACGGAGGTTTAGGGTCATCGCCAGGGACGAGAAATCAGATCTGCCAAAACGATTTGCACGGCTGCTCGGCTTAGTGCTTCAAAGAATGCGACCTTGTGAGAAGAGAGCTGCACCTGCCATCTTACAATCTGTACTTGCACGTCTTCGAGCACAAACAAATCGAATATACATCGGCGCTCAATCGGAATGGTGAAGCTGCAGCACTACTCCGTTCTTGATGGGACCAGGTAACTACAGAGCTTTAGGCCGAGATGGTCCGAGCGACTGCTTTCACTCGCCAGAAGCTTGCTGACTTGCAGCCACACTTGGGCCCGTAAGCAGGTGTTTTCAAAACAGCGAAGACATTTTCGATCTGATACAACTGACCAGCATATCCTTCAGCAAGGCAGTTCGAGGTCGTCGAGGGTCTTAGAACCTTACGCGAAGCCATGGGGACGGTCTTGAGCCAAACAGGCGTCTGCTGTGCCCCCTGGTTGAGAGAAGTCCTATCTTACAGTGGTTCGTGTTTCGTCATGAGGAGCTTCCAAGCAGGCCTGAAGTTCTTGAGGGCTACAGTCAGGATGACCTCTTTCCGGTTGACAGTTGGCCAGTAAACTCTCACATCTGAGCCTTGGGCTTCATCTCCGTCCCCAACCCGTCAGCCCCACCGCGCGACCATTCTCGATGATTCAGACACGAAAGAAAGTGCGTCCGAACGCGAGCTGTTGGTCTTTTTTGTTGCATCCACCAATGCATCCTCCGAAGTTGTTCGGTTTGTTTCACGGCTTCGATTCTAGATGCTGATGCTGTTCTGCCAGACGGTCGGAGATTTGAAGGAAGTAGAGGCTGACCTGCAAACCACGAAAGCCTTAACGACTCCTGCCGTTCTTCGGTTCCGAAGGCTTCTGTCGAAGGCTGAGGCTGTGCAATTGGGAATGCAGATGCCACGGAGACAAACTGGATCGTTGAGCATGCAGGGTGGTATCTAGAATCTAGAACCAGGAAAATGGCGACATTCCGAATTCCAAGCTTCCTGAAAGGACCTCAATAGAGCCGAGTAAACCCTGGGCAGTGGGTAGGATCTTTGTTACGTGGCCCATGTAAAGGTACAGGAACGGAGTCTCTTCTGCAGCAGCTTCGAATTCCTCTGGGCGTTTGTTTCTCGTTTTCCAATCCCCGAAGTGCTGCAGATTCGGATTGGATTGGCATCGGGGTTTTCAGCTGGGGCTTGAGTGATTCATCGATTTTGGCAGCTATCTTTCATTGTTTCGGAATGATCTGGGCTCAAGGTGAGGTCCACTTCAGGATCATGGAACTTCAGAGCCTTCTTGAACCCGGTCCTGGGCCAACATAAACCATCGGTGCCAGCAGTTTGAGTTTGGTTTGGGGCGGTTCTGGCTTTGTTCTGGGGTGGGCGGGTGCGCAGAGTTGAACGAATACGTTGGAGCTGCAAATCCGAGGGGTAGAGTTCTGGGCTCTAGTTGAGAAAGGTTGTCTCCACGGTTGTGGCGGGTCGGGACTTCTTCAGGCTTTGCAGCAGTCCTGGGGCCTTGGAAGCGCTTCCGATCTGCTACCAACGGCAAATCTTGTCGTGAACTCCTGGCCCCACAACACACTGCACTACCGACACTTTAACATGAAAGAATCCATCCAACACTTTGAAGTCCGAAAGCCCGAAGCCAGCAATGCCGCAATGCCATCGCATGTTGAAGCCCAGGTTGGTCGCGACAGGACAAGCTACCAGTCCCTAGCATCTTGACAGCACTTGGAGGCTCCAAAGCACGAAGCCGAGGCAGTGCAAAGCACGTGTGAATGCACGGCCTGAGTTCAAAGTTGAGATCCAAAGCTCAGGCGGTCAGCAGCTCCTCTGCTCCTCGGCGAATCAGTGGCTCAACTGGCTCCTCCCTGGTTTCGCACGCAAATCAAGAGAATGCATGCAAGATGGTGCCAGCAATAGCCCACAAGGGCGCAAGGCGCTTCACAGTCCCGACCCGGAAGCTTGAGCCTCTGAGAAGCTTCTTCAGGGGAGCCCTTGCTATCAGTCGATTGGACCACCGCCTGCGCCGCAGTTCGTGGAGCAGGAGGCCGGTCGCTTCGGCAAGTTGAAGCTTCAACTTTTTTGACAGGGTTCGCGGTCTAGAGAGGGATTCAACCTGCCGGAGTTTGCCGCGGCAGGAGCTCTTCGGAGAGCACCGCGTGTCGCGGCCCAGCTGCTTGACGGCGGCAGGGCTTCTCGGGGCCGGCTTGGGTGCCTCAGCTCAGGGCCAGCTCGTCTTCCGAGGCTGTGCCTTTGGCAACAGCTGCCGCCGCAGCAACCCTCAGCACTTCCTGGACGAGAGCCACCCCACGGACCCCGACCATCACCTCCGGACTCGAACGCTCTCAAAGAAAGCTGCAGCATGGAAACCTGCGGACTTACCTGATGCACTGCGACGTCCATCGTTCTGGCACCTTCCAAAAGGCCGGCCAAGTGCGACTCCCTGCCGTCCGACCTGGGCTGCACTTGGCACAGAGGCCGAAAGAGCTGGAAGGGGTCCTTCGAATCCTTCTGGTTTCTCTCAGTGCTGTTCTCAAGTCAAGCTAACTAGCCCCGCTAGTAAGCTATTCTGCTTCTCTCGTGCTGTGCCCTGTGCTGCAGATGCAAGCTGCTAAGCAGGAACGGCAGCTTTGACTGGGTCCGGAGCGCCAACGAGAAGGCAACAGCAGTCGAAGTGTCCGGCCCCAGGCCCTCGTTCTTTGCCGAACAAGGCACTATAAAGGTCCCTGGCAAACGTTGAAGGAACAACCCGAAACCGGTGCTTCGAAGTCCGGTATTCGGAGTTCAGCGCGCCAGTCGTGTGTGTTGCTGGTTCCTTCGTGAATCCCTCGTCCAGAGTCTAGAACCATTCGTTTTCTGCCAGTCTCCCACCGTGCCTGTGCGCAACCTCCGAAGCCTGAGAGCCTCTGAAGCCACCGCTTGAAGCAGCCTTTCGAGCCACGAAGAGAAGCCGACAGACAACCTCTGCGATCGAGAGGCGGACCGGGACCTGCGTGGAGAAGTGGCTTCTCTCAGCCTCGGGGTGCCGTGCCGTGGAAGGGTGCATGTTTTGTTTGGGTGACTGCCAGCCTATAGGACATGGGATGAGATGGTGCGGTGTGTGGGTCCTTCGTCCGAGACTTCGGGAGACGCCTGGTCAGGTCTGTCAAGCCAGAGGCTACTGGCTGGGCAATGCGAAGGTGGCACTGCAGCAGGTGGACAACCTCCTACAAGGCAGCGTTGTGCACGAAATCGTCTTCTTAGAGAGCAAAGCGACAGACAGTAGATGCAAAATGCATGATAGTCCGCGATCCAGTACGCACCCGCCTAGATCGGCAAACGAGAATGTAAACGATGGTAGAAGAGAAAGCAAGCATAGGTTATAAGTTATATGATCACTCTGAGACAGGTGGGTCGACAAGTCGACTGGCGGACAGACAGATGGAGGGCATTAGTAAAGCCTACTACAGTCTAGTCTAGTCTAGCATAGAAAAGTGCGAGAGAGCTAGACATATGACAGATAGGCGTCACAGACTATCATGCTAGGTCCGTGCAGTCATCAGACATCAGACAGAGGACATGAGTCTTTATGCATATGCAGTAAGTTGATGTGCACATATATCTGTCGCGGAAATTTACACCTCTGTCGAATCTCAAGCCGGCTTGCCAGCAAACTGCACATTACTGCATATCCGCATGGCAGCTGTTGCCAGCTATTGAAGATACAATACAGTCTGTAGAAGTCCCGCTGACATTGCGCAATGAGCTTCGACACTCCGTGTGCGCAGATAGGTAAGTATCCAAGTCAGCAACCGAATGGTTTGAAGTGGAGCGAAACGAACCGAGCTCAACTTGAGTAGGCAGATGTATACATGCAGGTGCACGTTTGGATGAAAGCATGTATCTATTTTTCGTGTTTATGTCGCCCTAAGCACCAATGGCATAGGTTTTTTAACGTTGCTAGGAGAAGAAGCGCGCCGGACCCTAGCGAGCTATAAAGTTGACCCTCTCCACAAGGGCGACCATGATCACGACAAGTGTATATGTCCCATCTTCTTGGAACTTGGACTTCGCACTTCAGAGGTCTTTCGACTTGTAGCTCCAATATGTCCGTGCAAGGTGGATGAATGAGGGAATGCACCAGCGAGTGAACGAGTGAATGAGTGAACGAGTGAGCGAATGAATGTATGAATGAATGAACGGGAAAAAAGGAATACGGAGTGATTGAACCATTTCATGCCGATGTCAAGCATGCTTCCGCCTTAGATGTCTTTCATCTTTTTGTTAGATTTGTGTCCCTCTCTCTCTGTCTCTTTCTCTGTGTCACGGTTCTTCTTTTCTATCTTGGGTAGCTGGACAGAATAGAGGGCGACATGCCGCAGTGTCCAACCAATTCTAGAAATTGTAGACATACCTATTGATCCGAAGCCTCAGACAGTGACGACAGGTACTCGAATTCTCACGATTGAGGAGGCCGTGGGAGAAGAAATGCCGACATGACTCGCAAACCCTATCTGGCCCTCCAAACCTGGACTGGATCCGACTTCAGCAGGGAGTGGTATCACTGTAGGATGGCCTGCGCTTGCTTTGGGCTTGGGTCTTTCGTGGTGAGCATGCCAGTTTCAGTGGCAAAGCCCGTTCAACTTTGGAAGCCGAAGTGGGACAATCTTCGAGGCCGGGGGCGCGCTGGCCTCCAACTCCCGGCCGCCACGGCTGGCAGTGGCCAGAGAAACCACGGCGCCTCGGGGGTGCCAAGATTTCGCGTGCTCCTTTTCTCTTGCTTTCTTCCGCTTCTGCTGCATGTTGTTCGACCAATCATTGGCAGGACGCAGGATTTTGTCCTTCGGGTTTAGGTGCTCCGTGTTTGGCGGTTTGGAGTTGGGTGAGAACATTACGCTCTTGTATATGGGGGTGAGCAATCGAAAAGTCATTGGGCAACTGGGCTATATGAAGTTGGCCCTGGCTCCATTTACCCCGTATGATTCTTGAGGCTCCCTCTGCAGTATGCCTTCCATCATGCTGCATTCCCTTTTAATGTGTGGCCGGCAGGCCTTCGACGCAGCAATCGCACGTAGCGCCCGCGGCGAGCGGGTTGCCGTGATCGGCGCAGCTTCTGCTTCTCGCCGGTCAGCTCTCGTTCTCGTTTCGGATAATAGTCACCCTGCGTGTGTCTGATCTACCACGATGTTGACCAGTGTCGAACAAGGCAACCTCGAAAAGCCTGAATCGAGAGAGAGAGAGAGAGAGGAAGAGCTAAGCTTAAGCCCACACTCGGCAATGCTTCTATCATAAACTACCCAACACCCCCCCCGAACCCCCCCAAATGGAAAAGCTTGCTTATCTGTGTCTCATCCTTGAATGAAATCCTTCATTAAGCTTAATCAGGCCTAATTATATGCCTAATTACGCCTAAATAAGATTATCGGCAAAGCAACCCGGTGCCCTTTATTAAGATGTAAAACTCTTGGTAAAGCAAAGCAATCTACCTGCGTGTACGTGCGCGCGCATATCCCTGAAACAGTGGGGGTGGCTACCGTAACTCGGCAGGGTCGGGTTACGGTCACCCCCCCTGTTTGAGCAGGTGCGCGGGCACGTGCATGAAAGGGGAAAGGGATTCGGGGTGAGCGGTGGGGCTTGGGTGGGATTCGGGGTCGGGCAGGGCAGGCCCCTGGGGTTGATGTTGCCCTTGCTTTGCCACTTATTACTTTGCCACTGCTTTCTTAATCAAGGATTTCAAGACGTAACGCAGATGAGCAAGCTTATCTATTTAGCGGGGGGTGTTCAGGGGGGAGGGGTTGGATCGTCTATGACTCTACCCTGTGCGTCTACTGCAACTCCAACAGCAGACGCCCGCACCCAGAAGACCACAACACTCAACTCCAAGCCGCGCACAAGGCCTACCACCCCTGTGGAGGCTTCCGCACAGGTGGACGCCATGCGCTGGAGGACACCTCTGGCTTGGCCGGCTTCGGAGTTTGGAGAGCTGAAGTGTACCAGCTGCTTGTAGCATTGAAGAGCCGGCAGCAGGCCCATTGTCGGAAAAAGCTCCCGCGGCCGGCACAAGGAGGCGATGTGTGTGCAGTCGACCCTCTCCGTTTCACTGCAGCGAGCGGTGTGGCTTTCCAGGCCAGGCCAGGCCAGAACAAACGTACTCTTCAGGGCTTTTGTCTAGACCCAAAAGCTCCCGCAGTCCGGAGGCATGGCGGAGTGGAGGCGGGCTTGGGCCCGCGGCACTTCATCGCCAGTGCCGAAAGCCGAAAGTCGTCGTTGTCAGGTGCCTCTTCCAGAGCGACTGAAAGCAGATGGCCGGAGCCGAGCTCGGCTCCCGTGTGACTGGAAGCCCAGACTTGTGACCCTCCGACGGACACCCCTGGACTTGTGACCCTCTGAGGAAGGGATGGTTTTGCTACATTCCGGAGCGAGGGGCGATCCTCTCTCCCTCGGTGGAGGTCCCTTGCAGCACGACGTCATGTCCAGCTTTCCCGCAGCTCTTTCTTCCAGGTCTTCCGAAATGGATCTGACATGGGAGCCTCGGCCGGCATATTGGGTTATACAGTCGTAGCATTGACGCATACACTTCCCAGTGAGCTGTCGTCTCGGGGGGTTAAAGAACAAGCTACTTATGTAAGAGTATTACCGAAGCTTGAAGGCCTGTCCATGCAGGGTATCCAGTTTGGGGTCTGCTGAGGATATGCCTTCATGAAGAGCGCCGTGGACCCTCAGAGCATTTCAGTGCGTTTTCGTTTGAATAGCCTGTTTCGGCATGAATCGAAGCGTGCTGTACTTGTCCACGGACAGGAGCTGGCGGCGGTCGTCAGCGTGGCGATGCCGAACATGAACCCGGCGGTCAAGGCCCCAACGTCTGGTACCGATGGGAGCCGAACGCGTGTCAAACGTTGGCGCTTCCAGTCGGTCTTGTCGCACATGGCAGCCCCAAGGGGATTGTTGTGATGAATGTTCGATCCGCCTCGAGGGCAGTAGCAGAGGTAGCACAGGGGATGGAGCAGAGCTTGATGGGGTTTGCTTCTTTCACGCTTGTGGCTTGAATTCCCGAGTACCGCCACCGGAAGCCCCAGCGTTGGAGGACTCGCCGCTGGACACCCCGACTGATCTACATGCGTCGCTGCGCAGAATCTGCAGTCGATAAGCTAAGGTCATTGGGTCATCTCGTAACGAACTTGTTGAGATGACGTAGAGTCTACTGAACCCCTGGCCGAGCTGAGGGTGAACTTGAAGGTGAAACTGGGAAGCCCCTAAAGCTGGAGCCTCACACTGTGATGTCCAAACCTCCAGGCTCCTTCTGCCTATGCAAAGAGTGCGTGAGTTCGAAACTGGGTTCCAAACCTGGGTTCCAAACCCCGGTTCAAACCCAGCTTTTCAAACCCAGGTTTGAACCTTCAAACCCAGGTTCCAAGGTTTCAAGCCCTGTTCAGAACCAGGGGGGGTGAGGGGCTTTGAGAGGTTCGCCCGCTCTTCTGCCGCGAAGACTTGAATACAAACCTTCTTTCCATCACACATAAATGAGAAAGCCACCGGAAAACACTCTAGGGGGGTTACAAAATGAAAAAATGAGAATAATCATAAATGAAACGTCTTCTGAAGGCGAAAACCAAACCTACTAGGCGGATATAGCGAAGAAAGCAAAGGCTTATTTTGGAAAGGTTTGTGCCTGGGGGGGGGGGGGGGGGGGGGAATTGTCTCTTCCATCACACATAAAGGAGACAGCCAGACAAAAAATGCTTTAGGGGGGTGAAAAGTCACAAACATGAATTATTATCGCTGAAACGTCTTCTGAAGGCGAAAGCCAGACGTACTAGGGGGATATAGAGAAAACTCATTTACGAACGGTTTGCAAATGCAGGGTGGGGCTGACCGCCCCGCTTTTTTTCAGACTGCAAACTCCACACTCGTATGCCGCGAAGAAATGATTAAAACCGTCTTTTCCATCACACATAAAGGAGAAGGCCACACGAAAACGCTTTAGGAGGGTTCGAAGTGAAGATAGAAGAATAATCCTGAATGAAACGTTTTTTGAAGACGAAAGCCAGACGTACTAGGGGGATATAGCAAAAACAAGCCTCACTTTGGAAAGGTTTGCAAACGCTTTTTTTGGACTGCAAAGTCCCCGCTCTTATGCGGCGAAGAAATGAATAAAAACGTCCTTTCCATCACACCTAAAAGAGAACGCCACACGAAAACGCTTTCGGGGGGTTTAAAAGAGAAAATAGAAGAATAACAATAGATGAAAAGTCCTCTGAACGAGAAAGCCAGACGTACTACGGATATATAGAGAGAAAACTCAGTCTGGAAAGGTTTGCAATGGGGGGCGGGCTGCGCCCCCCCAACCACGCCGCATTTTCCAGACTGCAAACTCCCAGCTCGTGTGCCGCGAAGAAGTCAACAAAGAACGTCTTTCCATCACACATGAAGGTAACAAGCCACACGACAACGCTTTAGGGCGGCGAAAAGTGAAATAGACGACGAATCATGCATGAAAAATCTGCTGACGGCGAGAGCCAGACGTAATTTCTAGAGGGGTAAAGCGAAGAAAAACAACTCAGTTTGGAAACGTTTGCAAATCGGGGGGTGGCTGCGCCCGCCCCCGCCCTTTTTTTAGCCCGCAAACTTACCGCGCTTATGCCGCAAATAAACGAATCAAAACCGTCCCTTCCGTTACCCCCAACTTCGAACTGCAAACTCCATACTCGTATGCCGCGAAGAAATGAATAAAAACGTCCTTTCCATCACACATAAAGGAGAAAGCCACGCGAAGACGCTTGACGGGTGTTAAAAAGTGAAAAAACAAGAATAATCAGAAATGACACGTTTTCTGAAGGCGAAAACCAAGAGTATTAGGGGGGGTAAAGCCGAAAACCATAAGTTCATTCTGGACAGGTTTGCAAATGCCGCCCTAACCCCCCGCTTTTTTGGACTGCAAAGTCCCGGCTGCTTTGCCGCGAAGAAATGAATAAGAACGTCCTTGCCATCACACCTCGGAATAAAAAGGGTACAACACTGAAGAAGAAAGAACAATTATGAGAAAGTAGAAATAACTGCAAACTCTCCGCCCTTATGCCGCGAAAAAATGGGATTAAGCGAAAAGCAACAATAGTAATTAGCAGCAATAAGAGTAGTCACGGTAAGAAGAGGAAGAGCGTCTTTCCATCGCACATCGGAACAAAATATTATACAACATTGAGAACTTTCCATCCAAGGTACCGGGCCCTCCTTGCAGACAAGCTGAAGGTCGCCCTCTACGGCGTTGCCCGACACATTTAGAAAGCACTCTTCTTCTTGGTTCTGCTGCCTTTTGCGTTTGCTGGTGGGGCTTGTAGACTGAAGTTTATGCAGTTGTCAGTTGGCTTTTGGTGAGGTGTAGGCCCCTTTTATTGTGGTGACTCTGGTGCTTATGCTCCAAAGCAGCCCTGTTCGGCCCACTTTGTAAAATCCAGTACATTGGTGACAATTTTCTCAGATGCTTTCAGCTGGTGGCGAAATTCGCATGCAAGTGTGCCGTGCTCATTTCGGGGTGTGCATCATGTTCCCGCCAGAATCTCATGGGGGGGGGGGGGGGACTTAGAAGACCTGAAACACAATGCTCGGGCCCACGCTCGCAGTGAGGGGGCCGTCCGGGTAGGGCCTAGGGAGCTTCAGGTGTGCTTCTCAGTAGAGGCATGAAGATCTTCTGGTAGTTCTTGGCCTACATATGGTTGGCGTGCACTACAGGGAAAGAGCTACTCGCTGGGAAACAGCATCCTCCCCAGCTTTGAGGCTTGAGCAGTACCCCAAACCCCAAGACTGCTTTCTGGAGAAGGCATCGCTTGCTGGGGCGACCGCCGTTGTGGTCCCCGGCGTTGGCTGCGGCGTCTTCAAGAACGAGCCAGGTTTCTGAAGCTCTCGGGTGGGCTACCGCTTCCTCCATTCTGAATTCTTCCAATCTCTATCTTCCAATTTGTAGCCGGGTCCATGCACAAGGAGATCCATCGTTTCCACACTTCAACCGGCACTCGTCTAAAGCCACACTCCTTCACCCTGATTGGCAAAGTTTGAATCTAAGCACCAACTTGTGCAATTTCCCCCTCTCCAAGCCTTGCCGAGGGCCTCATCGCCCGAAACCCTCATGAACAGCCGCGAAGGGGATGTCGGCGCGGCCCTGGCGGAGGCCATGCGCTGCGTGGGATCCGGCCTCCGCGAGGTGGCGAAGGGAGGTCTCAGCCAAAGGTGCTTCGGGGGAGTGCACGACTTGATGTCGAAGCTTTGAATACAGCAGCAGGACGAAAAGGAAGGAGGAGAATTGGACGTTGGCGAGGATGACCACAGCGTGCAGCTGTTTTGATCCGGCAGTTCTTGATTCTCCTTCCAACTGGGATCGCTTGTCCGGACCGCCGGAGGTGGTCCTGGCCGGGGCGCCACGATCCATGGCTGCGGCTGCTGCTGCTTCCCTTAAGCAGCGCCTCTGACTCGCGCGAGTCAAATCCGAAGTGGTTAGGAGTTTGGGGTTTCGGATTCGGGGTCTGGGTCTGTGAGGTTTGGGCTCGTGTCCATGCTCCAATCTGACTTCCACCTAGCCTGACTCCAGCCGATTCGGCAGGAACTGCCGCCTTTGATCGGTCAAAAACAGCTACGTGCAGTGTTCAGCCGTAGAACTCCTGAGAGATGTGTGCGTCCGTGGCGGCCCCGAACTTCTTGCCGGGTCATCGTTCTTTCATAACTTATTCTGAACATGGGCACGAATCACGAAGCGCTGTGACTGGAGTTTTCGCGTCCCAGCAGCCGGCTGTGTAATCGACACGGCAAAATCCAGAGGGTTCTGGACAACTCTGCTACATCCGACCACGTTTTACTTGCGCACCAGGAGCCAATATAGGGTGAGGAGCAGTAGCACACTGACATCGACCACCACACTGTGCCGTAGTGGAGTCAGTCGCTCTCGGACACGTTGTAATTGTGATTCAGATGGAGCGAAAAGCGCATGTTGTTGTCCTTCGATTTGTTGCCCGACTCGGTGATTGCGGCCAATTCGCGACGGCCTTTGTCGCTGTGCGATGTTGAGCTCGGAAAACTCGCTTCTCTGGGCTGCTCTGTGCCCGGCAGCAAATCACAACAGTGGACATCAGCATGTCCCAGTCTTGCAAAAATATCAAATCTTGTTGTTGTCCAAGTCAACGTCAAGCCCCCTGCTCGTGAGAAGCAACATCGCCGTGGCAATCTGGTGTTGCCTCTGTAGTCACAGTGGTCTCATTGTAAACAAGCAATGTAACCCGCGAGTGGTAGATCCAACAAGCGCCCCATGTCATCGGAGGCTCTTGCCATTTGTCCTTCGTGACCATAGGCCATGACTGTTGGGACGTACTGGCGACCGTGGGACAGCATGCCCTCTTCTGCGCAGCTAGGCGCCTGACCTTTACGTCATCCTTTCCAGCGCTGCCAGGGATCTGATCATGCACGCTGGGCGCCAGCTGGCTAGCATGGCCTTCGGCGCCCCGGTCAGCCATCCCGAGGAAATTAGAAGGGCGTCTGCAAGAACCTTTCGCGGCGGGAGCTCCCTCGGTTGCCCGAACAGTGTAGTGCACGCGTGCTTCGCTCCGTGCCAAGCATGGCACTGGGCTTGCTGCCGTTGCCGCCCTCCCGATTCTGTCGTCCATTTTTGTTTCGAGCTTGCTGGCTGTTTTTTGGGAGGCCCTGTAACCGGAAGGTTCGTTTGTTCACGAACACAATCAGAATGCGCTACTCCCATTGTCAAGCAGTGGATGTGGGCATGTGCCGATGACTTAACCCTGCACCGTGTCGCAGTTCAGCCAACTCCTCGCGGACATGCGCGACGCGCTGAGTAAAATGGGGCTTGGGTTCACGATTGACAAGACTCTATTCAAGGCCATGCCTTGGACGGCTTTGCTGAAGCTCGCGTGTGCAGCGCTGGTGGCGACTGTCGTGGTTTCTATGAATCGCATGCAGTGACAAAAACATGAGCTTCTGGCTCGAGGACTGTCCTGTGCGATCTGCTTTTGTCAGTCACGCTTTGTATTGCGAGCCGCTGTCAACATATCGTCATCAAGACTTAAGACACAATGAGGCAGGCTGTATGTTTTCGATCTTTCGCACCTGCATGAATTGGCGAGCCCAGTACGAATCGGACATCGGCTACCGCACCGGCAATGGGCTCCGATCCGTATTCAAATGAGGGAACGATACCGCGAAATCGTGGCAACCATAAGGTTGACCAGCGGACCGGCGCTGAGAGCAAGGGCTGCGAGCCGGGATGCCAGATCTTAGAATAGTGCATTGGTGTACGGGCTCTCATCCCTGTCGCGATTCACTGTCGGCGGGGCTGCCTCGCTCCTCTTCGCCTCCGCTTGTACGGGTGCACGCGCCTGCGACGAGTCTTGCAATCCGCACATCTGGCTACCGTGTTTAAGTCTACGGGTGGCTGGCGCGTTTGATGTTGAGCGGGTCTCCCGACGCACCTTTACTCATGCGGTCCCGCCGGGCAACAGGCGTCACATGTCTGGCGCAGCGAGATTGGTGGCAGCGCCGTTCCTCGTACTTTGTTCCCGTGGTTGGTGCTGCGGTTTGCCCGTGAAATCCAGTGTGGTTTGAAGTGAATATACGCAGCTTTGCTGGCTCGAAGTAGCGACCGTTCTTTTGTCAAGCGATGCGCACACAACATCACACAACACTAGTCGACGCCCCTACAGTGCACGGCGAGCCTGCGGCGGGCAGCGGGAGCACATTCACCAGAAGAAGGCGACATTATCGACCCGGGAACCAAGCCGCTTCTGCACCGCGTGCTGTTGCCGTTTAGCCGGCAAGCACCAGGTTTTGCTGAATTGCCTATATGATCGCAAGCGAGACCCTATGCCGGCGTGGAAAACGAGGGTCGGTGGACATGCGGCTTCAACCTGCAGGCGAAGGCTCGCGCACAGAATCTGAAAAGCTGATCTGTTGGCCCACGAGCTGGACTGCCGTCCGGTCATAGGCCTCTGGGCTACCTAGGCAAATTTTACCTGTTATGTCTGGGATATGTGAGTACTTTTGGTACAGTGAGCTGGAGGCGTTGTGGAGGCCCTTGATCTCTTCCGCCGCATCGTTCGCGTGCGGTGTCCGCGAGCTCCCAACGCCCTGCGCGCTGCCGCTACGGCAGGCCGGCAGCGCCGCTGGTGACCGACACTGAGCGAAATTGTCGAACTAGCCGACCCTACACTATACCTTCTTTGCTGCCGTCGTGCGCGCTGGAAGCGAAGTACTTAGCGTTAGGCTGGACGCATTGTAACAAGCGAAAATATTTAAACAAAAAGGACAACACTGATACCCCTACCGCACTTCAAGTAAACTTAGCTTGCGTGTATGAGACGGCCGATGTACGCTTACCTGAGGCCGGTACTTTTACATCTCCAGAAAGCCGCGCGGCAACACTTGCAGAAATAAACCAAGCTCCGGCCAAGTGCGGACGTTGCCAGGACATGAACGGGCAGCACAGGCAAGATTTGGCACTGCTCCAACAGCCCGTTCACGCTCGCGTTCGGGGACCGAGCCTCCTGGAGCGGCAGCAGTGATAGTGTTGAGCCGCTGGGGAAGCTCCGAGCGGCCCCACCGTCGCGGTTTTCCGCTAGGCCAAACCATTTTTTCGGCCTGGCAAGCAGGGTTTGGGCCAACCATTGGCCGGTGTTTTTTGGGACACTGACCGTTGATGGATATGCGTACTTTATTTTCTGGTGCGCTAGCTGTATTACCTGGTTTCGTGAGTTGTGTAGGTACAAAATGCAGGCGGATTACACCGAAAGAAAATGCAAACATGAAAACGTAAGTGGTTTGACGTGTTGTAGCTTCCCTCAAAGCCCGCATGTCATGCACCACACATTTTGCTTTCACTTGCTAATTACTCGCTGTATTCCAGACAAGTGCAGCAAGGTCGACACCGTCGAGTTTAGAAGCTTCCTTGCCGTCGGCCGTTCCATCGCGGCAGAGACAACCTGTGGCGCGCTGTCGTGCGCAACGACTGCAGGAGCAGCGCAGGCGGGCACGGATGCGCTCGCATGCAGTGATGCGGTCATGGTCTCGCTGGACGGTCGCAGCGCCTGCGACTTCACGTCGCGGGCAGTTTTTTGTCCAAGCTGCGCGAGGTGGCCCCGCAGTTTTTTTCTCCCGAATGTTCTGCAGCTGCCCCCGTGCACACAGCTCGTAGGACAACGCCGGGAGGCACAGGGAAGTCAGGCGACTCGCTCGCCCCAGCGCTGCACGAGCTGGGGCAGCACTACGCTTGAATGCGGCTTCCGGCCCTTGTCCGGCACGTTGATGGAGACATGCCGCTCCTCAGTGACGTACTGGCTGACTTTTCTGAGCATGCCGTAGTCTGTCGCCTGGACTTTGGGCATGTGCACGGGGACCGCGGAGTGGACGGATGTAAAAGAAGTCAACTGCGAAGGTGGCCCGCCGCCGCCATGGGATCGCGGATTTGGGTTCCGAAGTCTGGCGCGACAGCCGGCCCCCACAGCAGCATGGCTTCGTCGCACTCGGCACCCCCATAGGCATGCCGGAGTACGTCCGCGCTTAAGGCGCCGAGAGACTCGAAGCGGAAGACGCGTTGCTATGCGTTGCTCCGCCAGCTGCCTAAGTTGCCCGACCTGCAGTGGGCATGGCTCCTCCCCAGCTTCTGCGCCGCACCCCGCGCTAACCACGCGCTCCGGACCGTCCCTCCCGACCTCAATGCGCCATATGTGGCACCCTTCAGCCTTGTCTGGGCACCACCGTGGAGGACGAGTCATGCCCCGCTAGGGACATCGCTTTGCTCCCTGCCAGCTTGGGAGGTTTGTACTCTGCGGCTTGGGCCGATGCCTTCACAGTGCTCCACGAACGGTGCCCGGCCTTTGCGGACTGGGCCCCCTGTGCGTGCTCGGTTGCGAAGTGGGCGGACGGTGGAATGCAGTGGTGAGGCGCCTCGTTGGTCTCCGCGCGCACAGAGCTCCACCAGCTGTGCGGACCCCTGCACAAGCAGCGTGGGTCCGCCGATGGTGGAGCATGCTCTCCGTGGCCGTCCAGCAGATCGTCGGCCACACAGCGCTCGGGGGTGCTGGGGCCATGCTGGGACCGGCGCATACACATGTGCCGGCCCTGGATGAGGTGTTGGACTTGGCCGGGCCGGACGGGCTGAGCCGCCTGTCGTTGCGATGAGTTGGCCCCAACTGGGAACCGATTTTTTTTTCTTCGGTGCTTTGGAGCCGGACACAGCCGCTAGCAAAAAAAGAGGTGCGTAAAAAAAGAGATGCGTGCAAAACAAATCATCGGAAGTCGTTTCTCGCAACAAATCTCGCAGCTGTACCCCAAAGATCTGGCACAAACGTTGTCAGACACGAAATAAGGCATGTTCTACACCAATGTGTTGTCAAGAACCTGTTTGGTTGAAAAAGGGCTGTGGATCAAGGATATGTTGTAAGTGACGGCGCCTGTACGCGCCTATGCGTTT